CACGAGATCATGAACTGAGCCGAAGTCAGACGCTTAACCAACTGAGCCACCCAGGTACCCCTCTACTTTTTTTAAGGTTATTATTCAAAATCAGAGGTGGAGTATTTTGTTGCTTTAAAGACAAATATATACTGCAGTAAAAATTACATAACCCTATGCAAATTAAAGAATTTTGATGGAAAAATAATTTAAATTAATATTTTTGTGGGAATGCAAACTGGTGCACCCACTCTGGGAAAGAGTATGGAAGTTCCTCAAAAAATGAAAAATAGAACTACCCTACAACCCAGCAATTGCACTACTAGGTATTTATCCAAGGGATACAGGTGTGCTGTTTTGAAGGGGCACATGCACCCCAATGTTTATAGCAGCACTATCTACAATAGCGAAAGTATGGAAAGAGCCCAAATGTTCATCGATGGATGAATGGATAAAGAAGATTTAGCATATATATACAATGGAGTATAACTCGGCAATCAAAAAGAATGAAATCTTGCCATATGCAAGTACGTGGATGCAACTGGAGGGTTATTATGCTAAGCGAAATTAGTCAGAGAAAGATAAAAATCATGACTTCAGTCCTATGAGGACTTTAGGATACAAAACAGATGAACATAAGGGAAGGGAAGCAAAAATAATATAAAAACAGGGAGGGGGACAAAACATAAGAGACTCTTAAATATGCAGAACAAACAGAGGGTTGCTGGAGGGGTTGTGGGAGGGGGGATGGGCTAAATGGGTAAGGGGCATTAAGGAATCTACTCCTGAAATCATTGTTGTACTATATGCTAACTTGAATGTAAATTAAAAAATAAATTATTCAAAAAAAATAAACGAATTCATATTTTTGGTAAAATAACCCCAAAACTACCCCTTAGTCTCTCCCACAACTCTTATATCAGTTAAAAATAATCAGATAAAACAGCTTTAAACATGGTAATTTATTTTATGTGGTTGTTTAAATCCATTGTTTAAAAATGTTCAAAAGGCACTTTAAAAAACATATTTAAAAATACATTTTTCTGACTTGTTAGTGGATCACTTAAAATAAGCAAGTCACCACACGTTTTTAAGCCATTCATGACACTATCACCTTACATAATTTTTAAATTCCAAAACACAAATATTCACTGTGTAATATAACACACTGCTTAGCAGTTAGATTAGTTTCCCTCTAACATATACTTTATATGGATTATTAATTTGTAGGGCCCTGCAAAGTTATTTAAAATGAATTGATAAAAACTAAAAACTACAGAGGTAAATGGAGGTGAAATAGAGCACTATTTACCTCTGAAACTAGTTTTAGAACTGGTTTTTCTAGAGACAATTTGTAAAATTTCTTACTCTAATCTGTGTTAAAATTGCTATTTCAACTCCAATGTATAAACATAAGTCATATTTTTAAATCGAGAAGTTACATTTAGCATAAAATAAACCACAGGTTGTCCCCCAGATTTCTTAAGAATGTTTCTGTCAGGCCTACAATAAATCAGAGTTTTTTGGTTTGTTTTTGAGAAAAGGGAGTAGAGGGAATGGAATCCACATAACTTTATTTAATAATTGTGTATCTAGAATGTCCAACTGTAGACTTTAAGTAGGGCAAATATCCTGAGAGCCAGTAGGCATTATTCTTGGATTTTTTTAACTTCCAATCTCATAGGGAAATCTGAAGTTAACAGGTATAAAGTTATTAATAAGTGATACAAATTCTAATCACTAATTACAGCCAAATTAACCTTGCAAAGGCAGCATTAAGAGTAGTTAGAAAATGGAAATTAGTTATAAAGGAAATAAAGAGCAACAAATACAAAGAAGAAATTGTCAAAGACAGAATAGTATAATGAGCTAAAAATTTAAAGGAAGAATAAAAGGATAGACTTGATCTAATCAATAAAGTGAAGCATTTTGTTTTTCAAGCCTCAATCTGGTAATATAAATAGTTTGATAGGTTCCCGGAAGTGAAAAATTAATCTCAAGAGACAATTATGAAAATAACCAGTTAACAAATTTAATGCTCAAATGCAATTACTGTATTTCAAAAAATACTAAAAACTGGCCATTTATTTTGAATTTTCTTACAGTAACAAAAATTCCTCTTTCTGAAATTTAAAATATTTGAAAACAAATCTGCTTTGTATCATCTATGAACTTCCCACTTGAAAATATAAGTATACTGTTGTTGGAAAACATAAAGATAGCAAAAGCCTTATGTTTTGAGGCCACACTACAACCATTTATCCAAATGATCTTAATTTAAAAGATAGTAAGTCATCATTATGAACTCTGGTTTTATGTGCTCTGTCAAATACTTGGGAGAATTTTTGCTGTATTAGGTCATATAGGACAGTCAAATGGATTCTTAAAAGTGATGAAATTTTGATAGTATGAATTAGCAGAAAAAACATTCTGCATATTATAAAATAGCATTTTGCTACTTCCATTTAAAAGCTTTTACTAACAATTGGAAAAAAATTTTTACTAACAAGTGAGGACACTCACTTAGATATGCTTATTTAATGAACTAGTATGTATTTACTAGTACTTATTAAACTCTTCCTGCCCCCATTGTGAAATTACTAAACTTGGAGAATTACATATTTTCTTGTGGGCCCTGATATTGGTCAGTCTGAAGAAGCTAAAGAATTTTGTCAAAATGAATGATCCAAGGACCCTTTAAATTATCTTTAAAGTCTCTTACGTTTTATATGGTGTGATCTGGGACCACACCAATTTAAAACATGCTTTATCTAAATCTTTGAAAGATACCCTACTTCTGGGGCAATAAATCTGCAGCACATTCCAATCATTATTTGCATCAGAATTATCGAGGTCTTGGTTCCCAAACTAGCATGAATAAAACTCATTTGGAGGGCTTTACACCCTACATTTGGAGGCTGCTAGCCTCCACCTCTGGAGTTTCTGATTTAGGTCTGGGGTGGGCCCAGAGGGGCTGAATTTCCAAGTTCCCAGATGATGCAAATACTGCTACCTAGGGCCAACACTTTGAGAACCAGTGACCAAGAGAATATGGCAATAATGCATATTAATGGGCCCCATGCTAGAATCAGAATTTCTGGGATTGGGGTTTGGAAATCTGCATTTTAACAAGCTCCCAGGCAAGAAGAGTGTAAGACCACAATTTGAAAGCCACTCTGACAACTGGGCTGGTTAATCTATTACTGGCTGATGTATCAGATCACTCATGTTAATAAGTAAAAATGGAAATAATGTTAAATGACTAACCTCAAGGCTGATATGGCATGATGAACACACAGGCTTTGAGCATAAGTCCTAGCTCTGTTACTTGCTAGCTTAGTGACAGTGGAAAAGTTACTTTAATTTTCTGAGCCTCAGTTTTCTCATCTATAATACAGGAAGAACAATCAATTTGTGAGGATTAACACTAATATACACAGAATATCTAAGCATACTATATGGCATACAATAGGCATTAGATAAAACTAGCTATTACTTGTTACAAGAAATGTATGAAATATTTCAATATATTTGATTAAAGCAGATTTTTCATTCATTTAGAACAAATATTTACACTCTAAGGTAACAGAATAATAATAAAACCTTATACTTATTGCTCCATAGTCTGGGCCAGACAAGCGTTCTAAAAGTTGTACATATATTCACTCATTTAATCCTCATAAAAATCCTGTGAGGTAGGTAGTATTACTGTCCCTAATTTATGGATGAGGAAATTGAGGCACAGAGAAATGAAGTAAATTGTTTAATGTTACAAAACTAGGACGTGATAGAGCAGGGATTTAAACCCAGGAGGTCTGACTAGACCCCAGGATTCATCACAATGTTAATTTCCCATGAGTAAATGTTAAGGTTTTTGGAAAGTAACATATATGGACTGCAAATAAATTCATATCCATACCAACGTGAAGAGTTGTTTAGACAACAGAATGAATGACTTGAAATTTTGGCAGATGATATTGCTGTGAAAACCACAAAAAACAATTTAAAGTAAAAAACCGGTGTGAATTTTCACTCTGTGGACAGAGTAATCCATAATAACCACTAATTGCTACTAAGATGAACATCCTCTCAAATACCATCCAAAGAGATGATTTTGACATGTTTTGGCACAATAAATATAAACTCTTTAGCTAAGCAGCAGAGTCAATGGCATAACAGCCATGTGAAATTTACAACATTTAAGATAATCTTATAGTCTGCAAAATATTCTGTTATGATATACTTTTCTTTCCTTCCAGAAATTCTTTAAATAGTCACTAAAGTTAGAATGAAAATTTATGAATGTATTTTTGAAGACAGTATTAAATGTGTATTCTGCTGTTAGAATTATCCATTGGCAAAAAAAATAAATTAAAAAAAAAATCCCAAAATATTAAGTCTGCATCAAAATTCAGGCTGTTATTCATGAATTAAGTATTTGGTCTTTTAGTATCTGACATATTTCAGTTTGTTTAAGCACTCTGTTTTTCTAATGTTTTTAATTAACTCTGGTCAAAATATTACATTCAAATTATTTTGCCAGTGTAACCAAAAGCCACCTCAGAGCCTAAAAATGAATGTCTAAACTCTGCTTTAAACAAGTTATGAAAGGCACAAACAAATTTTCATCTCTCAACAGGATGATAACGAAAGGAACTATAATTACGTAGCTGGAATGAGTTTTAAATAATCAATTAAAAATGTCACTTAGTAATTCCTGAGAGTGGCACTGATCTAAGAAAAGCATCCTCAAATAGCATTAAATTTACTATTTATTAGTTACCCATGATTAACAATGGGTAAATTTGGGAACAAAATATTTTAAAATGCATATTTATAGAATGCTATTAATGCTTTGAGTAAATAAATATTAATAATTAAAATTGTATTCAAGAATAAACATATTTAGAAAAGAGACAACAGGGACTCAGTAAAACATAAACTACTAATTAGAACCAAGTATATAATACAGTCAAGGCCCATATAATTTCAAAATGTGGTTTTATTAATGCACTTTAGGACAAGTGCCATTCTTACTTTACCTCGTCTGGAAGAAATACTGCCAATTATAATCACAGGAAATTTTTCATTAGACAAAAACTGCGTGTGTGTGTGTGTGTGTGTGTGTGTGTGTGTGTGTGTGTTGGGGGGATTGGTTCATTTATATCATGCTGCAAATATAAACTCATGTCTTGAGTTTATAAATAACATTAAGTAACAATATTTCCTTCTAAACTTTTCTTTAAGGCAGACCTTTAGCATCGTGTGTGTTTTACTAATATGTGCAGTATAGTTTTAGAAAATTTAAACGTTCTAGTTTCTCAGTGAAAATAATACATGTGGTCGAGAACAGACAACAAAAATCTTGTTTCTAGTCCTTCTGCCTGGCCACCATTTTAAAAACACAAGTTTTTTCATATATATATATTACTGTATCAAAACACATTTTAACAGATTTCACAGCTCAATTAAAGCTTCAGTTTACAGTCATTTGTATGAAAGATTTCTAATATGGAATGTTCACTTCAAAAGAATTCCTCACTGGGACTCCAGTGTTCTGTATCAGATATGCAGAAGTTCTTCAGTGCAATGCTAGACAGTTTACCTCTTCATTTATGTTTTTCTTTCAAGAGTTCTCATTTTACTTTTGGATCTTCATTTTTGTATGCTCGACTTCTTTCTTTTAGTATATTCTCAGGTAAGGCAGGTTGATATCTATATAAATAACCATACGGACGAAGATGATAAACGAGGTATTCTAACTCATACATAGTTGTAGGATCAACATAGTGAAAAGAAACTGCAAGATCAGAACAGCAACCAGGACCCTAAAAAAGTAATGGAAACAGGCATTATTACTAAACAGTACACAGTTAATATACAATATTAACATATTCATTGAGGAAATATTAATTTTAACAGAATCCAAGCATTAAAGCTAGAAAGGTAAAGCAGAGACATCCAATTTATTAGACCTGTAGAAGAAACTAAGAATTTTTAGAGTTCTTAATGATTTAAAACTAAACATGAAAACTGCTAAAATATATCTAACTGAAATAATATTCTCTTAGAATCTATAGTGCTTTTGCAGAAAAGAATCTTAAGACTTCCTCAAATGAAAGAGGCAGCTCTATAAAGAATGAAGCTCTATTTCTGAGTTTTGTTTTTTCTTCATAATGTTCTCACTATGAATTTTTGCTTGGCTCAACCTCAGAAAAACATCTTTGGAGAATTTCAGTGACTACAAAGCCTTGCCCATTATGTGTCTGCAACCTAATACTTCATCTGCACATCAACCCAAACAGTACAGTATTTAAGAGGAAGTGCTGAGTCAAATCTAAGTTTGAATCCAAATTTTGTCTACTAGTGTCAAATTCTGCCTATTGGTGTATGACCTTGGGCAAGTTAATTAATCTCTCTATAAGCTTCAATTTCTTCATCTGCAAAAGATAGTTACTTAAAGGAGATAATGTTTGTAAAATGCTTGGGACCAGCTTAGCTTGTAGTAAATGCTCAATAAATGTTGACATTATTGATAGAATAATCACATTTAGGTGGCCCTAGTAAGTAGATCATAAACATTTGCTCAGATATATAACTCCGATTGATTCCTAACAGAGTTGGTATGAGAACAGGTTTAAAAAAGATAAAAACATGACAATAATAAAAAAAATACAACAAAGAAACAGGAAAAAAAAAAAGCAAGAACATAACACAGAAAAAAACACAAAACTGACCCCAGAATTAAACAATCATAAGGTTATTTTGGGGTTAGAACTGGTATCTACAGAATGTTTCACCCAGGTGACTCAAACAAAACTTCACACTCTATCTAATGTCTTTGCAAGGACCAAGAAGTAAGATATTCTGGCAAGTTCTCAGTGAAGATTCATACTGAACATTTAATAATTCATGTTTGAATTCACTTACTGCATGCTTACAATGCAGTAAAAATTATCAAGGAATTGTCCACTATATTTTCTCTGGCCTTCTCTCTGAACTTTCCTTTGAAACAAACACGGGATATGTGAGGTTTCTGGACAATCACATAGACACTGGAAAATTGTTTGGTGCCTACTTCTTACACCTTGAAGGCAATGTAAGGATAGGAACAAATCTGAAAAGTAAGTAGGTAAGTGAACTTGTGATCATCAAACCATCTCTGCCCAATAGATATATGTGAACCACATAATGCAGTTTAAAATCTGGTAGCCATATTTAAAAAGTAAAAAAGTGAGGGGTGCCTGGGTGGCTCAGTAAGTTGAGCATCCAACTCTTGATTTTGGCTCAGGTCATGATCCCAGGGTTGTGGGATTGAGCCCCACGTCGGGCTCTGCGCAGAATGTGAATCCGGCTTAAGATTCTCCCCACTCCCCTCCCCCGCACCTCTTCCTTACATGCTCTCTAAAATTAAAAGTTTTTAATTAAAAAAAAGTAAAAAAGTGAAATTAATTTGAATATATTTTAACTAAATAAATCCATATTCTTTTTTCAATATGCAATCAATATTTTAAAATTGTTAAATCATTCTTTTATTTGTGCTGAGTCCTTGAAATCAGGTAGGAATTTTATTATACTGACAGCACATCTCAATTTGGACTAGCCATATTTCAAATACTCAACAGTCATACCTGGCTAGTGACTACTATACTGGCCAGTGCATATTAAACTAAAGGACTAAATTAATAGCAATTAATTTTAAATTGCTGATGCTTTCTGACAGCAATTTTATGTGACCCTGAAATACTGCAGTAATATTTTTGATAATAATTACTGCATTAATTATGTTTTACTCTATTGCATTATTGTTTTTTTGCTAGATGGCCAGGATACTGTTATTAAGATTTATAAGCAATAAGGTGATAAAAGAAAACAGCTATAACTATTAGAAACAAAATAGTTCTCTGCATATAATTATGGTCCCTACCAAAATTCAAGAGAATCAAGTAAAAAATCATCAGAAATAGAAAATCCAGAACAAAGCCAGACTTTAAAGATGCTTTCAAGAAATAACAGCTTTCATATATAACATTCAAAAAGTTTTTAAGAAGAGCCCAGGTAGAGTAGTAACAAAAACATTAAAAACAAAGGGAGAGGGCTCCTGGGCAGCTCAGTTGGTTAAGTGTCCAACTGTTGATACTGGCTCAGGTCATGATCTCATGGTTCATGAATTCAAGCCCTTAGTTGGGCTCTGTGCTGACAGTGCGGAGCTTGCTTGGAGTTCTCTCTCTCTCTCTCTGCCCCTCTCCCCTGCTCACTCTCTAAAGAAATAAACATTTGAAATTAAAAACATAGGGAGATACTTAAGAAGAAATAAAATCTGGAGAAAATATAAAGCTTTACTAAAGGACCGAAAATAAAATTTTAAATCCCAGGCAAAGACATCCATTGTCCCTAAATGAATAAATTAATGCATAAGGATAAAGGCACAGTATTACCAAAACAATCTGAGAGATATATAAAGCACAGGAATATACAATCTTAGATTAATAACTTCAAAATCTGTAAAGTTACAAGGTTCAAAACAATATGGTGCTTAGGCAAAACCAAATAGGACAGTGGAACAGAACTGAAATACCAGACACCAATTCTACTGTAAGTAACACTATAGTATACAACACAGGAGATATTTTAAATCAGCAATGAAAATAAGACAGTTAAAAAATGGTACTGGAAAAGGGGCACCTGGGTGGGCCAGTCGGTTAAGCATCCGACTTTGGCTCAGGTCATTATCTAGCAGTCTGTGAGTTTGAGCCCCGCATCCGGTTCTGTGCTGATAGCTCAGAGCCTAGAGCCTGGTTCAGATTCTGTGTGTCTCTCTCTCTCTCTCTCTCTCTCTCTCTCTCTCTCTCTCTCTCTCTCTGCCCCTCCCCCGCTCACACTTTCTCTCTCTTTCAAAAATAAACATTAAAAAATGTTTTTTAAAAATGGTATGGGAACAATCAGTTAACAACTCGGAAAAATCAGGAGCTCTCTACCTTAACCATGTATCAGTAAGTTTCAGATGATACACTTAATGCAAATAGAACTGAAGAAGAGAATAAATTGTTATTTGATCATTTCTGACCTACAAAAAAGGCAATTTCACACACAGGGATATATACGTGTGTGTGTGTGTGTGTGTGTGTGTGTGTGTGTGTGCGCGCGTGTCTGTTTACACATTTTTTAAATCCACTATATTAAGACTGATTACACATTCTCTGGTGAAGGCGATTTCTAGGAAACGGACTTTAGTCCGAGGAACTTACTTCTAGGGAAGTGAGAAGGTGGTGGGAGAAGGGAATTGCGTGAAGAACACGTTCTAAACAACCAACTTAAGAACGTAACTCTTTGATCAACTGTAATATCTCACACACTGACTTACTAAAATAAAAATTTTCCACAATGTGTTTCTAGTGATTACTACAAAGAAAAAGTATATGTATGAGATTTAGGATAACTTTGAAAATCGTAATTCACTTAGGGAGAAGAAAATTTGTTAAACGATGGATGAGTAATAACAGAAGTTTGATTTCACATTGTGTGTATGTAACTTCCTGGGAGAGAAGAGGCAGGACTAGGAAGTTGGGTCAATTTTGGTACTTCCAAGTCTTTTACGTAACTGAATAAATTTTTATAGAAAACATAAATTTTGCATCCATTTTAAAAACAACTACAATTTAAATAAAAGATGTATCATAGAAATATTTATTTTGTTCATATAAAGTATATTGTTAGGTACACCCTATTTGTAGGTGGGAATTGTGGGTAGCACTCTTAAAGGGAAAGAAGGATATTTTACTGGTTACAACATATAACAATTAGGACATCCCTTTACTGTTACTGTATGTGTAACCAATATGAGACACTCTTAGTAAAATCTTATATGCATTTAGGTGTTTTTGTTATATGCATTTGTAATGTTTTTAAGTTTGGATGGGAAGGAGGACAGATTTAAGAAGGGAAGAGATCAAGTAATCTTGGAATGGTCAGATTATGCTAAGAAAAGTTTACATCAAAAAAGCACGCAAGCACTCACTAGAACAAAATAAAAATAGACTATCAAAAAGCAGACCGGGAATACATCTGTTTTATAGTCTAGGAAATTGCTGCATCTAAAATAGCAATAAAGTGCTAGCATAAGCTTTCAAACAGGCTCAATACATAGAAATGAACTTTTTAAAAAATAATTTATCTTCTTAAGTTTATTTTGAGAGAGAGAGAAAGAGAACAAGTGGGGGAGGGGCAGACAGAGAGGGGGACAGAGGATCTTAAGTGGGCTCTGTACTGACAGCAGAGAATCCAATGTCGGGCTTGAACCCACAAACTGTGAGATCATGATCTAAGCCGAAGTCAGAAGCTTAACTGACTGAGCCACCCAGGCACCCCAGAATCAAACTTTAAACTGTTTGTTTATTAAAGTGGAATTTCATCCCAACAACAGAGTGTTTATTTTAACATTCCTCAGCTCTTCCCTTTGGGGCACATATCCCATTAATCATGGAGGGGAGCTCATAATGGAAATTACAAGTTTTAGAATCAGAGTGGTTTGCAGTATTGCCTAGACTATCAGGAAAGACAGATTACTTGACTTTCTGGAGTCTCAGTTTTGTCACCTATTAAATGCAGAATTACTGTAAGGAATAGCTATTGTTACTGTAAGGAATAGCTATTGTTACTGTAAGGAATAGCTATTAAGTACCAAGAACAGACTGGTGGTTGACATCGGAAGCAGTAGTGATTTGCTTCTAAGTTTTCAAAGCTGATTACCCAAAGACTGGATCAGTTGTTCTAGGTCAAGGTTTCTTAACCTCTGTGTTACTGACATTTTAGACCAGATAATTCTTTATTGTGGGGAGCTGTCCTATGCATTGTGAGATGTTCAGCATCTAGTGGGTTTACAATCTTGTGGGTTTCTACCCACTAGATGCCAGTGCAGCCTCCCAACTAACAACAAAAAATGTCTCCAGACTTTGCCAAATGTCCTCTGGGAGGCAAAAAAGCCCACAGTTGAGAACCACTGTCCTAGATAATGATTTGAAAAAACTGGCTTGTGAAGCTGAGAATGCTAGCATGAGGTGTATTATTTGTATCTTAGGGCCAGAAAAAAGAGGCCAGAGAGTACTAATGACTTACCTACATGCATTATTAATCAATAACAGATATGAACCGAAAAAATGGCTAGGTTTGTGATTCCTGGTCTCCTTCAGTCATTCACTGCTGCAATGTTCCTAACAGTGAAAACGTGGAAACAAATTTCTAAATGTTTACCAGCAGGCGAATGGATTAATTACCACATACTCATACCTTAGATTACACAGCAGCCTAAATTAATGAAGCACATACAGGTATTAATGTTGATAAATTTTAATGTTGTATGAAAAGAGCAAATGTTCAAGGATTTTTATGGAATAATTCCATTTGTTTAAAAACCTACAAAACAATACTATATATTATTTATGGATACATAAATATGTAGGAAAAAAGATACAACCATGCATGGTAATGACAAACATTAAATTCATGATAGTGGTTAACACTGAGGAAGGAGATAAGAAAACTGGACTAGGGAGGGTACACAGGCCTCAACTGTATCTATATCCTTTTTTGTTCTAAAAAAGGAAGCAAATGTGGCAAAAGATTAATATTTGGTAAAGCTAGTTAGTGGGTACAAAATATTAATTCTTCTCAAATATTTAGCTGTACATCTGAGATATCTAATAAAATAATGTATTTTAAATTTTTTTTTTTCAATGTATTTATTTTTATTTTGGGGACAGAGAGAGACAGAGCATGAGCGGGGGAGGGGCAGAGAGAGAGGGAGACACAGAATCGGAAACAGGCTCCAGGCTCCGAGCCATCAGCCCAGAGCCCGACGCGGGGCTCGAACTCACGGACCGCGAGATCGTGACCTGGCCGAAGTCGGACGCTTAACCGACTGCGCCACCCAGGCGTCCCTAAAATAATGTATTTTAAATAAAATTCTCTAAGATGCCAAATGAGAGCTAAGGCTTATTAAGTGCTTACTGTGTGACAGGCATACACTGTAATTACAATTGAGTGAGACAGGTAGATCAGGTCCATTTTCCAAATGAGGCAACTCAGGCTCAGAACTTGGGAAAATTCTGTCCATCCAAAGTCATTCAACTATTAAGTGGGAGAAGATTTCAACCTAGGTCTTTCTGAACCTCAAAAGTCTTTTCATGCACCATTCCTGAAACCTTGAAGGCTCTTTACCCAGATCTTCACACAGCCTGCTCTCTAACCTAACCTCAGATTTCTTTTCAAAAGTCACCCCTTAGAGGCACCTTTCATAATCACCCAAACTAGCATACCCCATGACACTCTGGGTCACTCTCTATCCCCTTACCTGGCTTTACTTTACTTCAGGGCACTTATCACTACCTAATATCATATTTTATCTTTACTAGTCTGCCTGTTTATTGTATGTCTCTGCATCCAGAATGTAAGATTCATAATACACTGTTATGTTATAAGGTTCACGAGAACTGGAACTTGACCATATTTACCGCTATATTTTTAGTGCCTGACATATAATAGCACCAATATTTATTGAATTACTATTGCTGGCATTCATATTCTCAGCTATTTTATTATACGTCGCCACTCTATATAAAAAGAGTAAAGGAGATTCTTAGTTATTGGTACCAAAGAAACACATTATTTGCTAGTTTTTTTTTTTTAAGTAAATAAAAGTCAGTCTAAGTATTTATACAGTAATAAAATTTCTAAACTTACCTCTACAGGAGGATAATAGTTGTAATTCCAGTACCAAAAGGTTCTAGGTAGATACCCCTTGATTAAGTGGTGTTCTGGTACAAAGGGATGAAAAGTTTCTTTTCCAGTGGTATCTCTGGAATCTCCCGCTTCTACATTTATAATTTCCATGCATCTCCCCAGTGCTAAGTCTTCAATGGAGGAACTATGTGTACATTTGTCTGTTTTAAATGCATCAACAAATCTTTTCAAGGCTTCTTTGCTCAGTACATATCCTGCTCCTCCACTCATGTAGCCCTGCTTTACATAGGGCTTAAATCTTCTGCCAAAGTAAATGGGTTCTTCAGGGTTGTATTTTGAGAGAAGCCATCTCAAATTATCTAGTATAACATATGTATCATCATCTGCTTTCATAAACCAATCAGCATCTTCTAAATAATGATCATGAACATACTGAAAAGCTTTAATTGTTTTCCAGTATAGTTGATCTCTGCCTTCTCTGGTTTTTAGTCCCACAGCAGGGAAGTCTTTATTTTCTTCTGAACTCATAAACAACACTTTATTACAACGCTGGGCCCATGTAGCTTTGACGTGTTTGGCCTTTTTCTCTAGATTTTGAGGCCCTGTCATAACCCAGCAAAGAATTTTAACCTTCTGATAGAGGTTTTCAGCGATGTCTGTGTTCTCATCTATTAAACAAAAAATTTTTAGAGTTATATCTACATAGGTGTAAAAATGCAAATAAATTATATTGAAGAAAACGTTTTCTTACGCAATTTCAAAGGCCCCCTTCTATTTACCTTTCTAGCATTAGTAATTTAGCTGAAAGAAAGCAAAACTCAACCTAATATGAATTGACATTCTGATTTATTGGTATCATGTCAGTCTTGTCCAGGAGATTCATTGGCGTTAATAAGAACTGCCACTATGACTTAGATTCTTACTATTTGAACTGTGGTTTATTGACCAAACAGCATTAGCATCATCTGGGAGTTAGAAATGCAGAATCTCAGGCCCCACCCCAGATCTACTGAATCTGAATCTGCATTTTAATCTCCAAGTTCTCTCAGAGATTTGTATACATATAAAGCACAGTCTTAGTCTCTGTTTTTCACTTCATTCTACAAAGAAAGCTTCTACTGGTTCACAACAGAACACTGAAGGAATTTCTCACTGCTCTGAATAAGCTTCTAAAAGACAGGAAAGACATGCTACTGAAGTAGCAGTTCATTTTGGAGTCCACAAGAGTTCACTGTTAGGAATTTATACAAGTACCCTGATGTGACTTTAAAAAAGGCTTTCATGACCATCTCAGTTTGAAGAAACAGGGTTAATAGAGAGTTGAGATTACTTCTCATAGTACCATATTTCATTCCAAAATGCAAATCCATCAGTCAGAAACAGAATAGAGTATCAGTAGTATTTCCAAGACTATCTAGAGCAATGTTTTTCAAAGTACTCCTTTGTAAAGAAATAGGGAGCTTATGCCAGAATATAAAGCAACACATTACTTCTTTCATCAAGGAAGTCCTGCTATACCCCACAAAAAGTCCACCTAACTAAAAAGCGAGCTTAACTGAGTTACATCCTGATACAAACTCCTTATCTGGATGCAGACTGGTAACAGATAATTCACACTGTCAGGCCAGGACAACATTCTGAGTATTAATGGTTTAAAGTAAGACTCTAATTTTAAGATTCTGTACCAGTGCTTGGTGAAGGATCAATTTTTATTTCAATAGTTAAAGACCTATACTTTTGTAAACATGCTAAAAAATGAATTAGTAGAAAAAAAAACTAAAAAAGATATTGCAAAGTGTGAGTACTAATTCTTATAGTTTAGACAAAAATTACTCTGTTAAATTACCATGAAAGCTTCCAACTATTTAATCCCAATTTCAATACTTATGTGGTTGTGGACCAGCATGGACCTGCAAAACCATAGTTTTTTTGTGGTAATAATACAGGCAGAATCCTGAGGAAGCATGTCCTTAAAGGTAAGGCCAACCAGTGAGTTACAAAAGCTCAGTCCTGTGAAAAATTAACAACTGGAGGCATAAATTTCTACTTAACTAATTGAGAGGGAATACAACATTGGGCAAGATTGGGCATGCATTGAAAATATTCTCTTGTCCCTCTGAATATCGATAATTCACAATTCAAAAACAAACAAAATCACCCTATTTTCAGACAGCATTCATATTTCATTGGGACTTGAGGGTCCCAAACTCCTGGCTATAGATAAACAAAATACTGGATGAACAGGGAAACTGGTAGATGCAGGACTTTCTAATGTTTCACTTTGAGCAAGACAACCTTCTCCTCACTGCTGGGATTTGGTAGAAATATTCTTTCTCATTTTTTAGTTATTCATTTATTAATTACTTTGTTGTAGGCATGTGCTCGCACAGGAGATGAAAAGATGAGTAAGACATACGGCCTACTACAGAAAATTCACAATCTTGCAGGAGACCTTGGCATGCAAGCCAGTATGTGACACACAGTAACAGCGATGCTATAGTAGAGCTCTGTACAAACAGAGCTCTGTTCAATGTGCTGAGGAATACGACAGCTGTGGCTGATAAATCCTATAGAATAGTGGAATGGGAACTTGGCCAGAACAGAGAAGAAGGGGAGATAAAGCAAAATCAGGAAACAGATGATGCAGAAAATAGGTCTTTAAATGAGTAGAAGCTCACCATAAGAAAAGACAAGAGGTAGAGTGAAGTTTGGTTGATGTAGGTACCTGGGTACAACTGAAGATCTGTACTAGGGGAAATGAATGGAGAGAAGAAATCTGAAAAATGGTAAAGAAGTAGAATGTTAGAACTTACAGAAAATGGGATTGATTGGTAAGTGAAAGAAGACATCTACCATGACTTCATAGTTTCTAGCTTAGACAGATGTGGACCATCGAGCAGGACAAGTAGGTACCTAATATATGTGCCTGCAGTGACCTGATACAGCCTACTAGTAGAAAAAGCATGGCTCCAACTGATCCTTCGACAATCTGGAGCAATGCTCATTGCTCTATGATGGTGATTAACTGCTCTATGATAAGAACACAGAGCACCTACTCAGAGCTGAATCAGAGTTGTATAAACATTTACACAATATGACATAATTTGTAATAGTATACATGTGCTTGCTAGTTCATAATAACTCAACCAGGATGTGGTATTTCATCCCTCAGCTTCTGCCTGAGAGGTAGGAAAGAAATATCTTATTGCCAAAAAGATACAAGAAACAATTCTTAACTGGGGGACCCTCTGCATCCCAGGATTCCAATTGTTTTCAAGCTGCTGTATTCTTTTTTGTCAAATAAATCACACTTGCAGAGATCTTTGAATTATGTTAATGTCTTCAGTGTTAGGAACTGGGCTAAGACAAAGACAGTAAAGAATAGATGGGAACTAAAATTATAGGAATTGATGATATCACACAAGAAAAGAAACAGCCAAAGGACAGAAACATGGGGAAAACCAACACTTAAAGGGGCACCAGAGGACACAATTGAGAACATCCTGTTAGAAGCAGGTGACCAGGAGAAAACGAAGTCATTATAACACATCCTTAGTTCTTTCCTCCTCTTAAGTTTTTATGCCTCTTAAAAGGTGAAAAGATTAGTTATTTTAGCTACTGATAAAAATATAAATTGAAAAAATATATATAAATTGAGATTTATATATATCTCTTTAATTTCTATAAGACAAGACTAAGTAAAAACTAAGACTAAAATCAGATAATAGCAAAAACGAAAGACACAGATAGAAACCATGATAACAAAATTAGGCTAAATGAATATTTTCAAAAACAAATCTAATCTGAAAGTTCTGCCTTTCCCCAAATTACAGTTCCTGAACTATCTCTACTTAAAAATGAATTCAAAATTAATACCGTACTCCCTAAATAAATCTGGGTTTTAGCAACTTCCTTCTGCTGAGGCAAACCAAGAATTGTCATTAAATATCAGGAATTAAGCTCACTTTTATCAAAAGATATTGTATGTAACAAAATTCAAATAAATTGCCTTTTCCAAGTCTCACAACACTTACACAGACTGAAAACTACTATTTGTGTTTACTCCTTAATAAAGCAAACCATACCTTTATGTTGGCTAGAATCTGCATTGAAGTTCATCTGTCCTTCTAGATGATTCTGTCCATTATCATCTGAATGCCTAGCATGAGGATCATTATGAAGAATATTAGGCTGGGTATCACCCTGTTCTCCCAGTAAAATACTAAATAACTGAGAACATAAAACAAATCCAATTGCAGATCCACAAAGGAAGGTTAAAAAATTCAGCCAAGATTTAGAGGCCATTTCCCGAAAGTTTATTTCTGTAAGAAAAAAATTAGCAAGATGTTATAAATTATAAAGCATACATACTATGAGGAAAAAACTTGATTAACTTTTAGCCATATGGGAAAGTTAATTCCTTCCATATAGGAGAACATTTCTAAGAATATTTAACTTTTATCTCTTTATTTGCTGCTAAAACACACATTATGGACAATTCAATAAAATAGATGAGTAGTAGCTTAGAGAATCATTGTTAGAGTAGAACATGGGTAAATAGGTCAGTATTTGCACATAGAATTTCCTGTTCCTCCCAACTAGAATCCTTTGTGAATCCAAACCTGCTTGCCACACTCTTCTTTTTTGCTGTCGAAATAGTTAAATTTATCTTTTTTTTTTCTTTTGGTAGTTCATATTACGTGGTATACATTATAGATATTATATAAAAAATATATATAATATGACACAACATAATATCTCACAAATATTACTCTCATTGAAACAAATGGTAAAACTTGTATAAAAATTGTGGGGAGGACACAGAGATTGTGTTCTAAAATCCTATTGTTGTCCAGAAGTAGTAGAAGTATTAATGTTAGATTTTAAAAGACTACGGATGTATAAAGTAATTACTAGTATAATCATTAAAAAAAAGAATACATAACTAAAACAGAAAAAATGAAATATAAAATAATAATCAAATATAAGGAAAAAAGAGAAGTGGATAAAGAACAGATGAAATAAACAGAAAAAATAGTATTATGACTGATTTTAATGTAAATATATCACCAATGACATTAATGTAAAAAGACTGAAAACTCTAATTAAAAGATAAAGATAGCCAGCCAGACTAGAGAAAGAAAATAAACCCATCTATATGCTGCTTATAAGAGACACACATTAAATATATTCAGAAAGAGCAAAAGGATGGAAAAAGATGTATCATTCAAACACTTACAAAAAGAAAGTATGCTAATATCAAAATAAAAGTAGTAGCTACATAGTTATCTTTGAGATATTCACCAAGCTGTACATTTTTGATTTACACATTTTTCTATATTGGGGCGCCTGGGTGGCTCAGTCGGTTAGGCGTCCGACTTCGGCTCTGGTCATGATCTAGCAGTTTGTGAGTTCGAGCCCCACATCGGGCTCTGTGCTGACAGCTCAGGGCCTGGAGCCTGCTTGGGATTCTGTGTCTCCCTCTCTTTCTGCCCCTCCCCTACTCATGCTCTGTCTCTGTCTCAAAAATAAATAAAAAACATTATTAAAAAAAATTTACACATTTTTCTTTTTTTTTTTTTTAATTTTTTTTTCACTGTTTATTTATTTTTGGGACAGAGAGAGACAGAGCATGAACGGGGGAGGGGCAGAGAGAGAGGGAGACACAGAATCAGAAACAGGCTCCAGGCTCTGAGCCATCAGCCCAGAGCCCGACGCGGGGCTCGAACTCCCGGACCGCGAGATCGTGACCTGGCTGAAGTTGGACGCTTAACTGACTGCGCCACCCAGGCGCCCCAATTTACACATTTTTCTATATTAACATTTACTTTAGTAAAAAACTTATATAAAAAATAGCTCAAATAACCTTTTACTTTATTCCTTTTACTACATGTTTAATATACATATATTCAACACAAAAGGATTCATACTCAAATCTATAAGTAAAATTGTCAAGCCATGGAGCTATACCATGCTTATCTTATGTCTCGTATTACAGGTCCTCTCTAGAATAATAATTCAAATTTGAGAAGGATGATTCCAAGGGGAAAGCAGAAGATAAAAGAAAGACAGTGTGAGCAAAGTTGTTCACTAATCCTTGAGATGTAAATTACCCATATGAAACTGGCAGGCACTTGTTTATTTTATTGTATTTATTTTTTAATTTTATTTTAATTTACATCCAAATTAGTGAGCATATAGTGCAACAATGATTTCAAGAGTAGATTCCTTAATGCCCTTTACCCATTTAGCCCATCCCCCTCCCACAACCCCTCCAGCAACCCTCTGTTTGTTCTCCATATTTAAGTGTCTCTTATGTTTTGTCTCTCTCCCTGTTTTATATTATTTGTGCTTCCCTTCCCTTATGTTCATCTGGCAGGCACTTGTTTACTTACTTCCTTTGTTCTACCTTAACTGCATTCTTAAATTCAGAAAGGTAGGCCTTCCTGGATGAAGAGTATATATGTCCCACTCAACTTCCCTACCCAATTTCCCAGAGGAAAAGCAGAAATAAGTTTATCCAATCTTGTTGCTATTTTTCCTGAGAGGGAGTCTCAAATTCTCTCTTGCTATTGTCCTCTTTTCCCCATTTAGATTGGTCTTTAGTGAAATCCTTACACCCAAAAGGTATAATCCACAATCCCAGGGAAAATATCCCTCTTGGTTTAAATGATTCTTTTGAAATTCTAAAAACCTCAAGATTATTTGCAAATGATATATCCGATAAAGGGTTACTATCTGAAATACAGAAAGAACTTATAACTCAACACCAAAACATCCCGAGTAATCTGATTAAAAACAGGCAGAGGACCTGAACAGATATTTTTCCAAAGAAGACATACAAATAGCCAATAGACACATGAAAAGATGCTAAATATCACTAATCATCAGGGAAATGCAAATCAAAACTACAATGAAATATCACCTCACACCTGTCAGAATGGCCAGAAACACAAGTTTTGGCAAAGATGTGAAGAAAAAGGAAGACTTGTACACTGTTGATACAGCCACTGTGGAAAACAGTATGGAGATTCCTCAAGGAATTTAAAAATAGAATTACCGTATGATTCAGTAATTTCAGTAATGGATATTTATCCAAAGAAAATTAAAAAAACACTAATACAAAAAGATATATGCACCCCTATGCTTACTGCAGCATTATTTATATACCCAAGATATAAAAACAATCCAAGCGTCCATCCATAGATGAATGGATAAAGAAGATGGGTGATACACACACACACACACGCGCACGCACGTACACACACACACACACACACACACACACACACACACACACACACACACACACACACACACACACACACACACACACTGGAATATTCCTCAGCCATAAAAAAGAATGAGATCTTTCCATTTGCAATAACATGGGTGGATCTAGAGGGTATAACGCTAAATGAAGTCAGGAAAGACAAATACCGTATCATTTCACGCATATGTATAATTTAAGAAACAAAACAAGCAGAGAGAAAAAGAGATAAAAACCAGTCTTAAATACACAAAACTGGTGGTTGGCAGAGGGGAGGTGGGTAGGAGATGGGTAAATTGATAAAGGGATTAAGAGTGCATTTACTGTGATGAGCACTAATGTACAGAACTGCTGAGTCATTATACAAGGGGTGGGGGGGGGGAAGCCAAAGAGAACTACTCAAGAATCTCGAAATCTCCCTTTAGTAAGAGCATACATTATCAAGACTTTACCAACAAAAGTAATTTGAAAGTACCATGAACTGCAAACACGAAGCCAAGAGAAGTGAATGAAAGGTATCCTAACTCTAGATTTTTTATGGTAAATATAAAAAGATTGTCAGAGTAAGACTGAAGCAATAAACCTGAAGGAAAGCTATTAAGGTAACATTAGCAGACACTGAATCATTTAGGAGCCACACTGTAAGCAATTTACACCACATCTTCTAATTCTCTGACACTTTGCCTTCTAGCACACTGGTTTTGATTTTGTTTTTGTACTGGTTGTGACTTTCCTCACTATATACTAGATATAATCACTTCACAGTCTCAGAAGGACACAGTCCAATTGAATTTTGCACTGCTGTAGTCTTACTACTCCTGGTATTAGAGGAGAAAGCAACAGTCACAGTGGTGTTCAGTACCACTTTAGACAGAAAGCACTGTGACTGAGAAGGGGAAAGGACTGCAGGACCAAAGAAAATCCATTTCTTCCATCATCAGAGCAGACATATGAAGTTAATTAAGTGCTCATCTAGCTCCAGTAACTATGAATACTAACCTGCTACCCCACCATTTTCCACATGACACTGAGCTTCAGAACAACTCTATTTTTGCAGCAGGGATGGTTTCCTGTTTGTAGAAAACTAGTGACATATTTATGGATAGGGTTTTCTCAGCTGAGGTGGCACTTTTTAGCAACATACCTGTTCTGGGGTGAGTAGAGGGAAAATTGACTTCTGGATGTTAAAAAATTTGTTTTTAATTAAAAAATATTTTGTGATGCCGTTGGATGGCTGCCATCCTCTCCCCCATCTTCCTCCAGCGCATTAGCAGCCAAAACGTGTTGGCTCACCCCTGTTGTTCTTATCCCATCCCCTTCCAATTTCAAAGACTCCTGACTTATGACTAAATTTCCGTTTACGCCCATTTTATTTTCCTGTTCCTGCGATAAAATAGCCACCTCATATAGGTACAATGTACCCCAAACCCTACTCCGGTTTTTGGCAAAAATCTGCACCCTCAACTCTTCAGATTCTTTTCTTTTTTTTTTTCATTTTTTAAATTTAATTAATTAATTAATTTCTAAATTTACATCCAAGTTAGTTAGCATATAGTGCAACAAGGACCTCAGCAGTAGATTCCTTAACGCTCCTTATTTAGCCCATTCCCCCTCCCTCTTTAGATTCTTAACAAAGAGTATGGAAGGAGACCAGATTGGAAGACACTACACAACTAAGTTGCACATTATAGGAGCCTATGTTAATTAAAATTAAGTGCAGGGAAGTTCTCAATGTCAACTGCTTTCTAAACCTGATACATCATCAAAATCACTTGAGGAACATTTTAAAAATACAGATTATCAGGCTCAACAATGGAGATTTCAGATGCAAAAGAAGTGCTGGGACAGGTAAAACTTATATTTTTACTTTATTTTTTAAGGGACAGCTTTGTGTTATTCATTGTAAAAAATAAGTCAAGCAATATAGAACAGTAAGTATAGAACTACATTGAAAAAGAAAGAAATCACCTCAAATCCCATCACTCAGAAACAGCTATCATTAATATTTGGTAATATCACTACAGATAGGAATAACATCTTTATAAATAACAG